GGGACCTCCAGACTCAGGATTCATGCATGAGACAGCAGGAGGCCTTCAACGACCAGCCCAGGCCAGGCCAGGGTCTGTTGTGAGATCTGGCCAGAGCCTAGGACTTATGGGTTGTTCAATCCTTCAACCCTCCCCTCCCCTACACATAGAAGGCACTTTAGTGCAAATTTGAATATTGCTGCAAATGTGACTTTGCAACCTATTCTCACCCCCACCCCCAGGGATGGGGCCCTTGATGGATACCTGAGTTTGGGGGCTCTTAGGAGAACCTAAAGGAGAGAATTGTGGGTCTTGGGGAAGGAAAGGTATGGGGACAGCTCAGGGGAAAGGACAACTTGGGGTTGGATGGAGGAAGAGAATTCGGGGGGATTCTTAGAGCTAAGAAATGTGGGGGAAGGAGGTAGGTGGAGATGCTAAGAGACCATAAGGTGGAGGTATGTGAAGAGATCAGAGGTTAAGGGAGGCATGGGAGGTGGAGGAGGTGTGAGGTGCTGGAGGGTCACAGAGCAGAGGGTGTGCGAGTGGGCTGGGAACTCAGCAAAGTTCTAAGGAGCAAAGATGGCAAAATACTCAGAATCCTTGGGCACAGGTGTTTACTGGTTTAGTCAACAAGGATTTATTGAGCACCTACTGTCTTTGAGCACTGCCTCGGGAAGACATGGTCCCTGCCCTCCGTTTGGGGAGGGGGGCGGTGAAGTCAGACACTCAGGTTGAGACAAGGGGTCAAAACAGCCAGTCACTCCCTGAACTGCACAGACACGGAGGAGTCAGTCACCCTTGTTCGCCGCAGCCCACCAGCCTCCATGCGGTTCTTTGTCTTGTGCAGGAAGTGGACAAATCGCACACCAGGGCCATACTGGCGGAATACGTGGGACACCTGTGGCAGCAGCGGGTCAGAAAGAAGTCCTTATTAGGGACCCATGAGCCCTGCTCTCCCCCTCCTCCCTCTGTGAGGTCTTGGGACGGGTCTGGGTTGGCAGCTGAGGCAGGGAGTCTCACCTGGACCCAGCGGCCAGGAGGGCCCCTCCCAGAGGTCCGGGGGGCCACATGGTGCTGAGCAATGATGGTGTGTCGGTCAGCTGCCAGCAGCCAGACGTGCAACTCATAGACACACACGTCCAGCCGGCTGTCCTCAAACCTGGGGGTGGGGGAAGGCCTTCAGCTGCCACCTCAGACCCAACATCCCCACCCCAATGTCTTGCCCCAATCACCATTTAGCACCATTCACTGACACCCCCCACCCCCGTGCCCCTGGGCTGGCTGGTGCTGGCAACACAGCCCCCTGCCCGCCCCTCTTGGGATTCATAGTCCAGTGGGGAGGCAGTGACCAGCAGGAATAGTCAGGACCAGCATGGGGGCTGGTCAGGGAAGGCTTCCCGGTGGAGCCATGTGTAACTGACTCCTGAAGGACAAGGACGAATCGTCCTGAGAAAGACAAGCATCTGAAGAGGAAAGAACAGCCTTGGGCCTGGCACATTTCAAAACCTGAAGGTGTCAGAGAGAAGGGGCCACAGAGGTGGGCAGGGCTGGGTCCTGCAGGGACAGGAGAGTCCTGGTGGGAGGCTCAGACCAAAGGGGAGGGCGGGGCGGGGTTGTGCCCTGGGGAGCCCCTGTGTGCACCCTGGTGGGGGGAGGCACGTACCAGTCCATGACAGTAATGTCTGGCTGCTCGTCATCAAGAAGCTCCTCCCACAGGCCCTCGGCCAGCAGATCCACACACTGATGCTTCACTGTCCAGCTGTGAGAGAGGGCACAGGGGAGGCGGGCTCTGGGACCTGCTGGCATTCTTGGGCATCTCCCAGGCCAGCCTGACCCCAGGGAGCAGGAAACCTGATCACAGCACCCTCATATCCAGGGGACCCCGGTATGGGTGCTGGGCCCTCACTGGGCACCTTATAGTCTCTGTTCCCATCACCCTCTCGGCAGGCGATGCATTCTGAACCCTGTGTAGCGGTGGGGAAACCGAGGCTCAAGAAGGGAAGTGAGTTGTCCAATGTCAAGCAGCAAAGAAGCTCCGGGCCAGGGTGACTCTGAGCCCCTGAGTTACACCATCTCACCCACTGCCCAGAGGGTGATGGGAACTGGGGATTCGCCTCCTCCCAGGGGAAGAAGCTCAGCAGAGGAACAATAATAGTTGCTACTTGTGAACACCTACTATGTGTAAGCCAGACCTCGCCATAGCCTGTGCTGTGTGTTAGGAGCATTCTCTGGGCAGGTGACTAACTCTGTGTTTCCAGAGCAAGAAACTGAGGCCCAGAGAGGCAAAGTCATTTTCTCCAGGTCCCCCAGCAAGGAAGGCTGGAGGAGGGAATCCATCGCAGGCCCGGGGCCTGCCCACTCACCTGCAGTTGTGCTGGAGCTGCTCAGTCCTAATGTACCACCCACGGAAGTTGCCTGCCAGGTGGAGGAGCAAAGGGTGAGAAAGCACAGAGTGTCTGGCGCCCTCCCCTGGGGACCAGCCCCCAAGCACTCACCCAGCGTCTCCAGGGGCTGCCGAGTGGGGCCAGTAGGGGGCGCTGGCTCATAAATGTTGATGCCTGAAATGGGCAGGTGATACACAGAGCCTCAGGCCTGCTGGAGCTGCCCCTGTCCACCCTCTCCCCGCACCCTACCCCCAGGGCCCCTCTGAAGGGCAGGAAGCTGTGCCACCCACCAGGCCAGACCAGTCTGGCAGGGGTGAGTGAGCCAGGGCCCAGGGAGAGCCCTGAGAATGTCCTGGGGGAGAGGGACCAGGTGCGTTCTGGTGAGGCAGAGACAGAGGGACAGGGAGGCACCAAGAAAAAGGCACTTAGAATATAGGTAGAGGGAGGAGTGGGGGGAGCTGGGGGGGGGGAGCAGGAGGAAGG